GGCTCCCTGCTCAGCGGGGAGTCTGCTTCTCCCTCTGACCCTCCCCCCTCTCATGCTCTCTCTCTCTATCTCATTCTCTCTCTCAAATAAATAAAAATCTTTAAAAAAAAAAAAAGATGGAGAAACAAATGTAAACACTGCTGGTGAGAATCAGGACAACCACTCTCAAGTGGCAAGTTAGCATTTTCTAGAATATGGGAAGACGTGCATCCCCTCTGATCTAGAAACTCCACTCCTAGATGTGAGTAACACATGTGTACAAGGAACAATTTCATCAGAGCACTGCCTGTAATAGTAAAAAACAACTACTCCTTAATAAGCAAGTAAAATAAAATATGGCTTATTCATACAACGTTTAACAATTAAAATAGATGAACTGGATTTACACGAATTGAGTGAAAAAAGCAAATGGCAGAAGAATACAAATTGGATGTTGCAACTTAAATGAAATTTTCAAACGACACAAGTCTAGAATCATCATCACTTTAGGGGAGGAAGGGAAGGAGAACAACAGAGTGGGGATTTAGCTTTAGTATAACATGAAGAGAAAGATCTGGAGCAAATTCAGTAAGATGCTAACATCTACTTAATCTGAAATTTCCATGTAGACACCCAAACACCTGGGATTCCAAGACTAGCACAGACGGAAATTAAGGGCACAGGCTCCAGCTGAGGAAGCACTGAAACAGAGCCACTGCAGCAAGCCAAGAGCCTGCGGGAGCAGTGAGGGGTGTGAAGCAGAAACTGGAAAACACCTGCCCACTGGCGCCAGCTCCAGGGGAACAGACTGAAGTCAGCTAGGCTAAGGGTTAAGGGTTAAGTCTTCAGAAAAAACTGATAATCAGAATATCAACTCCATGCAGCACAGCGTTGTGGGTTCTGAGTTCACCCTCTGAGTCCAGTTGCAGGCATCCTGAGTCAAGCAGTTCACCTAAAAAGCTGTGTGCAACTGGTAAACCGTGGGGCCTTGGCTGGGGTGAGCATGAAATAGCTCCACAGGACAACCCGTGGCTCCCAGAACTTCCACTGAAAACAGCGTCATCTGAAGAGGAGTTCACAGTTAAAAATCGAAAGCCTGTGAGGAAATGCACCTCCAAGAAAGAGAATCAGAGCAATAAACAAAAGTACCCACATCTTAAACGGTCTTCCAGATACATATGTTTAAAATGTTCAAAGAGATAAAGGAAGGCACAGAAATCATGAGGCAAGAGAACAGTACTGTGGAAGGAAAAAGAAGAGTCACATTTGAAAGAAAAATGTATAAAACAGAAAATGTAGTCACCAGAGTAAAACTCAATAGATTAAAAAAAAGTAATTTAGACTCAGGGTAAGAGAAAAATAGCAAAGTGGAAAAAAGTTCTAACTAAAGCATGAGGAAGCAGAGAGAAAAGGAAGGAAAATATCAAAGGGAATTTAACAAACCAAGGAGACTGAAGGATAACATTCTAAAATATAGCTTACAGGAACTCCAGGAGAAAAAAATTGAGGAATTAGGGAAGAGGTAATTTTGTTAAAGAAATAATCTCAAGAGTATTTTCCAAAATTGATGACATGGGTCCTTAGTTTGAAAATCATATCAAATTCTAAACATATACATCTAAACATCTAAAAACAAATAAACATATTTTAAAATTACAGAGAAATGTAGAATATCAAAGATAATGACAAAATCTTGGGGGGCGGGGGGATGGGTGAGCCCGGTGATGGGTATTAAGGAGAGCACGTACTGCATGGAGCACTGGGTGTTACATGAAAACAATGAATCGTGGATCACTACATCAAAAACTAATGATGTACTGTATGGTGATTAACATAACATAATAAAATAAAATTAAAAAAAACAAAAAAACAAAAAAACCTGCTACCGGGAAGAAAAGACCAAAAATCTACAAACGAAATAGAAATAGACCCACAGCACTCTGCTTATCAGCAATGGACACCAGATGACAATGAAATAATTTCTTTATAAAATACTGAAGAAAGTCAACTGTCAACCTATTGTCTATATCCAGTTAAATTATTGTTCAAAAATGAATGAGAAAGAAAAAAAGATTCTTCAGACACAAAACCAGAGATGACTTCTCACAGACTAGAAATAACATCTCTGAAAGAACTGCTGAAGGATGTGCTTTAACAAGAAGAAAACTAAACCCAGAAAGAATGAGTGGGATATAAGAAGCAACAGTAAATAAAGAAAATGGTAAACAAGTTACTAAATTTTCCCAAGTATGGACTGCAATAATGGTACTTTTGTGGCACAAGAATAGGGTCAAGCTAAAATACAACAGAAACTCTCTTAACAAGCCTCCACTTAACCAAACTACTAGTGGATAAGCCTGAGCTTGCCACTCCTTTCATAAGATACACTACCTGTGGTACACTGAAGGCTTTCAGTCAGGAAGCTATTCTTTAAAAAATCCATCCCACTTTAGAAGTTATACAGATATTCTCCTCCTTCATCATTTTCTAAAAAGTTTATGCTCCATTGGGAATTAACTCTGGGTATATATGAGGTGGTGGTCCACTCTCTCCCTCTCTTTGGTACAGACAGGCTCTTTCTTTCCTACAAGCTGAGCTCTAGGTTTACTAGAAGTCATTTGTATTTTTTCACTTCTGTTTATGCCAGAAGTACTTGATAATTTAGGAACATAATTTAATAGTATATGTCAGTGAAATTAGTACAAAAAGAGAATTTTTTTGAAAATATGTTCATAAACTTGGAAAGACCTGATAAAGACAAGTTACTTCAAAAAATATAATAAGGGGCGCCTGGGTGGCTCAGTTGGTTGAGCGACTGCCTTCGGCTCAGGTCATGATCCTGGAGTCCCGG